ACCAACTTTCAAGGAAAAGGCACTCAAAAGACTGCTATAGATCTCATCCAGTCCCATAGATTGAAGGTAACCATATAATAACGCTAGCTACTCACCAGCCCAAAGTTTTTTCTGTAACTCAAACTCATAACAAATATTATCTCTTCCTGAATGTTTAATAAGCATCTTAAATCTTGAGTTCCCACCCCAACCCAATTCTGCTCTTCTCAAGTCTTTCAAACCCTAGTAAAGAACGCAAGTATTCACACAATTTACATAGTAGAATTTAGGTTACTCAATTTTTCAACTTCCTTTACTCCAACCTATTAAAGAATCCTCACATCTATACCCAAACATATCCCATCCCATCGCCACTCCCACTACCCTGGTCCCAGGTGCACAAGTCCAAGTATTTGCACAAGTCTCCTAACTTTCCTCTTGCCCACCTTACTACCCATTCTCCATACTGCATCAAGGTAGTCTTTGAAAGTTATAAATGAAATACTTCGCTGCTTACAAAAGCTTCCCATTCACTCTGAAAGACTTAAAAGACTAACACCCTATGTGCTCTGGCCCCTTGCCTAACTCTATTCTCCTCCACTTTACCTCACTTTTTTGATTCCCAAAACATGTTCTTAAATGTCTTTGCCTTAACAGTCCCCAACAGTAAATACTCTCCTCCTCTCAGTACTCATTATTATTCAGATCTCAGCTTAAATGTCACTTTCTTCAGAAAGGACTTCTGTAACTAGTCAATTTTAAACTAACCATTCAAACACTATCACATAACTGCACCCTATTTCAACTTTTCTGCAAAGCACTTAGCATTACCTAGTTCTTTAAATGTTTTTTAATTTTTTGACTGTCTTATTCCACTAGAGTGACCTGACATGTAAGCACTCAACAATTATTTCTAAATCAATGAATTTACATGCAAACAAACATACTACACCAAGGGATCAATGCCTAGACAATCTACCTAAATAATGTATTCCTTCAAAAAAATCTTTATTAAATGCCTACTGTGTGCTAGACACTGAAAGGGCAAAAGTGTGCCAGAAACCAAACCAGATTTTCCACTCTTTTTTCACTTTGTGAAATGGCATTTTGATTCTTAACCTTTTTTTTTGGGTGGTACTGGAGTTTGGATTTGGGTCCCACTCTTGCTAGGCAGCCCCTCTACCACTTAGCCACGCCCCAGCCTTATGATATGGTATTTTAATATATTTGCCACTCAAGGCCTTAATAATCTAGAACACTTCTGTAGTAAAACACTGTATCCAGCACGATTAAATTGAAAATATAATAAACTAAAACAGGAACAAATCACTAATAAGTGATGGCTAGCAAATACTGTATATAGAACAAGTACTAAAGCAGTTTTTTATAATAATCCCTAACATCATAGAGATAAACCCTGAAGTGAGACAATTTTTTTGGGTGGGAATGGGGTTTGAACTCTGGGCTTGGTGCTTTCAAGGCAGGTGCTCTACTACATGAGCCACACCTCCAGTCCATTTTGTTCTGATTATTTTGGAGACAGTCTTCTGAACTATTTGCCAGGGCTGGCCTCAAATAGCGATCCTCCTGATCTCAGCCTCCCAAGTAGCTGGTATTACAGGCCTGAGCCACCAGCACCTATTGTGAGGTAATTCTTTGCAAATTAATATACAGCACACTAAATATGCTATTTATACATATTAAAACTATCTTCCTAATTTTCTTATCAAAAACATAACATGTATAGTGTTAGTGTCACTTACATATTAATGTAACCACATTTCAGCTTTTACATTTAAACTGATCACAAACTTACTGAGATTTTCCCCTAATTATTTTAGGACATAATCATCATCAAGGGTCAGCAGACTGCAAGATTAAAAAAACTCTTTCTCGTCATCAATTCAGTAGTAGAATAAAATACTGTACTGTATTAGCTATCTCAAAAATCTTATTCTTTAATGTGACTGACTTTAATCTACAGCAATACAAAACAAATCTGAGCTTTTAAACCATGTAAATTTCAGCTCCCTATAAATGTCCACGTTATCAAATGCAGAATTTTTAAGAATTTTGTAAGAGTAGTGGTGTATCAGGCATCTCACATTGCTTTAGTATGTAGGTTACTTAAATTTTCTTCAATATTTTCCACAGGAAATCATCTACTTAAAATATCACAAAATGCCAATCTCTCCACTTCACATGCAACATGTGCCACTGTTTATTACATGAATACTTTATAAGAGGGGGATGCATTGTTATCATGTAATTTAAAAAAAAGACCTTTGTAAAGGTTAACCAAAAAGGTAACAATCTTTAAAATGTTGCTAGCTGTAAGAAAGGGGAATCGGGACTTTCAACTTTTGCACACTAGAGTCAATAAAAACATTAAAAACAAATTGCCTTGTTTTTCCCACTCTGCCCTTCAGTCATTGAGCCTCAAAAAGGCGAATAAAGCTGAGAAGACTCAAACCATGTTTGAAATGGTTTGTCCCTGCACTCCTACCAACAGAGCTACCTAACCATTTACATGTTCAATAACTGAATCACTCCATAATTCCTCTTTCTCTCTCAATCCTTTCTTTCATTTTTGCTTATGCTTACCTCAAGCTCATAAGTCTCTATATAAAGTATCTTAGTTATTTAATTTCTTTAGTCACTTCTAGGTGAAAAGTGAACGTCAAACCTTAAACAACCAGAACCGTCTCAGGTCAAAATCTGTAAACTGTAGATACCCTTATAGGTCTCACTAAAATCCTGTCTTTATTTTAGCTCTATTCCTAATATCCCTGGTTACGTTTCACAACAAATTAGAAACAAGACACTTAATTTAGTGTCACACATTATTAATTTATACTTTTTATTGGAATTCTTGAACATTGTATTGAAAGTATTAATTAAAATTCGGTATGCAATAAAACTAAGGGCTAAGGCTGTAGCTTAGTGGTAGAGCGCTTGCTTAATGTGTTATGAGACCCTGGGTTGGATCCTCAGCACAGTGAGGGAAAAAGTTGAAATTAAAACAGACGTCTTGAAAAACACTCTCTAGTTTTAGTTTTTACACTGTATTAATAGCAACAAATTATATTTATTCAAGTAGTAACAAAAAGTTGAAGACGACACTAACTGAATATATACTTCTGAAACTGTAACTTACTGTACTCCCTGGAAATAAACTGGAAAACAGTAAATTTAATTAGGAATTTATACAAATACGGTATTAGTTCTAAGGTAACAAGTGTTAAGTGCCTAAAGGGCTATACAAGCTTTACAGAGCACACATATTCAATGTAGTGTGGATTCATTGCACAACTGCAATAAATCCACACACTTACCAGCGAAACGAAACAAAACAGAACACCTTCTTCTGGTTTCAGCAATTCTGGAATGAATTCTAAATTATAAGCTGATAAAAGTTCCGTGGCACCAACATTATCCCAAAAAGCCAATGCCAAAGACGCATTTTAGAGTTTTCCTAAAATCAACTCTGCCTTTTAACCTTCATCCTTCAACTTACTAGTACACACACTAAGCACTAAAGAAAATGCCAAAAAACAAAAAACAAAAAAAAGATTCTATTTCCAATATCTGACCACAGGGTGTTGACAATTACTTTTAAAGACACTTAAAAGTCTCTCATATCTAACTGCCACTTTCTGTACCTTTACGAATTTAGTACACAGCATATGTCTACAAATAATGAAATAACTCGAAATAAAATTTTGTGCCACAATTCCAAGAAGGTTGGGTACGGCTCCGTTTCTTACAATTAAAGATGGTGAAGACTTTAGAAGAACAAGATAGGTAAAACATAGCACTCTCTTTATTCAAAGGTATCTACTGATTAAATAGATTTCACTTATGGACCACCAACTAAATACTATCTAATCCTCACATCTCTGCAGGTATTATTTCTATTTTAGAAGATGAAACAGAGTAAGCTGCCCAAGGTCATAGCAAACAAGTTATAGAGCCACAAATGGAACTCGGGTCTACTTAATTAACAACAAGGCCCCTAATGTCTATCCAAGGTAAAACCAACTATTTTTTAAAATATAGGTGGGCAGTAAGTTGCTGGTGTAAACTAAGCATCGACGATCTTAAAGGCGCACAGCATCACAACTTCGGAACATACGAGTAAATCCACACTTTGATATTCTTGGCATAAGGTTGTATCAGCTCCAACACAGTCTCTTTTTGCAATCAGAAATGCCTAGGATGGCACTGGAATTTATCAGGTAGGCTTGTGGAGTTTAAGGTATTCACTGCAATAGAGTTTAAAAGTTTTTATGTTCTTTTTACCTCCTGAAACTATTAGGAGAGTCGGGGGAGAGCGCAGGGTTCCAAGACTTGGAAAGAGAGAGAGAACCCGTTAAATCTGGAGATGAGTTTGAGCCTGGATTTGAAGGGCTCTTAATAGGCAAAAAAAAAAAAAAATCTTCACAGCCAAAAGGCCTCGGCGTGTAATCTATGCGTGGGTGTGAGTTCGGTGGTTGCAGGACCACCGTAAAACGACAAAGGGGTTACAACAAATCGACGGGACGGCAGGGGGATGCGGAGGATTCATTTTCAATTTCACCACCCTTCCCCACTCACCTCTTCCACGGCTGCGGACGGAACTTGGCATTTGTTAAAGGCTTATCATCTCGAGTTACCAACCCGACTCCAGCGCCTAACCAGTCCTCCCGCAGGGGTAGTGGCGACGCCTACAACTCCCTCCCCCACCTGTGCCCCGCACCCCGCACCTGAAGGCCGGGCCGGGCCCCCTCCCCTCCCCCTCCGGCCCCACGACCACGCGCTCCGGGCCGAGGCCTCCGGTGCCCGCGGGCTTGTGCTCCTCCACGCAGTCAGCGTCCGGCCACAAAGGCCGCGGAGTCACCGGAGGGTCCGCGCCGCCGGCCGCAGCCGTCGGGGCCCAACCGCGCCCGCCGCCCGCGCGCCGCCCCTCGCCGAGGCCCCGCGGGCCCCGCGCGCTTCCGCTGCCGTCCCCGCGGGCCCGCGTCCCCGACCGCCGCGCGTACCGTCTCCTCCGGGTCGATGTCGATCTTGAAGGTCTGCTGCTGGAGGGTCTTCAGGGTGACCTGCATGGTGCCGCCGCAACTCCGCTGCCGGGCCTGCGCCGGGTGCTGGCCGCTGGGCGGGGTCTGTGGCCTGGCGGCCCCGGGGTCGCCCGCGTTGGCTGCTCGCGCTCTCGGGAGGAAGACGGTGGGGGTGGGGGTTTGTCACATTCGCCCTGCGGAGCCTCTCCCCCAGCCCACGACCCGGGCCGCGCCGCTGTGTCCGCGGCCTTCCCCGAGAGCTCGGGTCACGGTGCTTCTTCACGCGCCGGCCGCTGAGTCCGCAGAAAACGCGAGAGGCTCCTCGAGATCAGCAGAGAATCCGCTACCTCACTACAGGACAGTGGCCGCCATCACCGTGACTCGCCGAGACGTGCCCCCTCCCCCACCAGAAAAACCTGGGGGGGATGGGACCGGTCTAACGAAGTGCGCAGGCGCAAGGTGCGGCGAAACTGTGCGCAGGCGCAGCCAAGAACTCCGTCCCGGCCTTGGGGGCGGGGCAGCCGGCGGCTCTGGAATGTCAGCGGGCCGGATTCGGCGTGCGCATGCGTACACGGCGGGCGTCGGCGACGCGTCTGCAGCCCGGAGCGCTTCGGGCCCACAGCCACTCCGCCTACGTCCGTCCAGACTCCGCCCAGCTGCTCGGGTTGTCGCAATCCGTAGCCCGGGAAGAGCTACGTGGAGATCGCGCTGAGTGGACGTTGAGCCTGGAGCAGGGGACCTCGAGGGCGGTAGATCGGGCGGAGTGTACGTGAAAAGATCGTGGTGATCACAGTAGTGGGCCAGCCCTAACCGGGCGCTTGCCACGGGGCGAGCCTTTGTGGTGACGAGTGTTTCTCTAATGCCGGAGCCGGACGGCCTGGATTCACATTTTGTATACTCTTACTAGCTTTGGGACCTTGGGCCTAAACAGAAGGACGGATTTCAAACGGAGGCCGTTATGTCACTCCACTGAGCGGAACTGCCCTATGGTGGTTCCCCATCTCGTCCAGAACTGGATACATCAACCTCTGCCTTGCTCTCCCTCGGGTGAGATTGTTGGTAGATAGTAGGCATTTGTGCCCCCTCCCTCCCCACGAAGAACCTTTCTTTGCACTTGCTGCCTGGCTACCCTCTTTCCAGTCTTTGCTCAAATGTTACCTTCTTGGTAAAGTCTACCCTGGCTACCTTAAAACCGCAATTTAACCAGGTTCTGTTATCCTGCTCTATTTTTTTCTCTACAATCTGTATCACCTTCTGATTACCGTATAATTTACATATACGGTAATATGTATATTTATCATCTTTCTCCCTTTGCTCTAAACCCCAGACTGAAACAGCACAAAGGCATGAATTTTGTTTTGTTCATCTATATATCCCATGCATCTAAGAAACATACCTAGCACATTGCAGGCACACAGTAACTGTTAGTGGGATGAATGAACGTGCTTCTGTTTCCTTAGCACTAAAATGGAGATAATGTCACTTGGCTCATTGATTGTCGGAGGAAGGAGTGGAATAATGGAATAATGCATGCAAAAATCTTAGAAATGTTGAGTAAGGTAACTGGAGTCACCCAGCTAGTAGAAGGTGCCAGACCTAGAATTTGAAAAGGAGAAGGATTCCAAAGTCGGTGCTCCTTGGGTTCCTGACTGTGATGCCTTTTTTATTGTTGTTTTTTGTGGTTTTTTTTTTTTTTTTTTTTTGGTTTTGGTATTTGGGGTTGAACTCAAGGCGCTTGCAGATGCTCTGCCATTTGAGCCATGTCCCCAGCCCTTTTGCTTTAGTTATTTATGTTTGGGGTGACAGATGTTTACCAACACACCCTGCTATTGGTTGAGATGGAGTCTGGCTAACTTTTTGCTTGGGCACACCTCAAACTATGATCCTCTTGATCTCCACCTCCCAAGTAGCTATAATTACAGGAGTGAGCCACTGCAACTGCTCTGTGCTGTCACTTGGTAGGGTCCCCTGTTATATTTGCCTTAAAATGATTATGAAAGACAGTTACAGTTAGACCACTAACTGGCCAATTGTAACTCACTTCTCTAGCGTAGTATCTGGTGGAAAGAATATCACTACTTGGTTTTCCATGGATTCTAGAAGCTTGAATGTAATTGTTCCATGGAATTTCTCCTGACCAACTTCCACCCACCTGATATTTCCTGGTTCATACCATGTATCTCCCTGAACTGTGTCCTTCCTGTGTATCTACTTTTAGTCACCAGACGATCTCATCCTGTCCCTTGTTTTGAAATACCTCCAACCTAGACCTCTGTATAGCTGTAGAGTTAGCCAACTGCCTAAATAATGTTTTCATTTGAAATATAACAAGCTTCTGAAAAATAGCATGGCCAAAGTGAACAATTGTGAGTTTCTCATCCCCCTGCAAACTGTTCCTCTCCTATTTTTCCCCATCTCAGTTCATGGTATTACCATCTATCCAGGTACTCAGACAAAAGCTTACTTTTCTTCTTCACCTGCCCAATCACCACATCCAATCAATTACCAAGTCCTGTCAATTTTCTTTTCCAATCATTCAGCCATTTCCCACCATTTCTACTTCTAAAACCATAGACAAATTCATTAGTCTTCACCTGCCTCCTAACTAGTCTCTAGTTCCACTGTTTTCCCCTAATAACCTCCCAAGCAGCCAAAGTGGTCTTTTATTGTTGTTGATTTGTTTTTGGAGAAAGTGTCTATGTAACCCAGGCTGAGTGCTGGGATTATAGGCATGCACCACCTCAAAGTGGTCATTTTAAATCATGAATCAGATCATGTCACATTTATGCTTAATACCTTTGTTAGTCAAACTTCCATCACTGTGACAAAATACCTGAGATAATCAACCTTGTAAGGAGGAAAGATTGATTTTGGCTCCTATTCATGCTTGCAAGACAGGCGCTGTACCGCTTAAGTCACCCCACCAGTCCTCTTCCTGGCCTTTGAGAGCCCACATGATCTGACTTGTGCCAAATTTTATGAACTCATCTCTTCTCTCTCCCTCTCACTCACTGCCATCTTTTCCACCTTTCTTTCATCCTCAAACAGGCTAAGCTGGTTCTGTCCTCCAGGCCTTTGTACTTGAAGTTACTTAAGCTTGAAACTCTTGTCTTTCCAAACAATTGAATGACTAATACTTCTCCATGTTCAGGTTCTTTTCTGTGTTTTGTTTGTTTGTTTGTTTATTTTGGTGGCACTGGAGTTTAACTCGAGGCCTCATGCTTGCTAGGGAGGCACTCTTATCTTGAGCCGTTTCAACAGTCCTTTTTTGTGTTGGGTATTTTGAGATAGGGTCTCACAAACTATTTGCCTGGGCTGGCTTCGAACAGCGATCTTCCTGAGCTGTGCTTCCAAGAAGCTAGGATTGCATGCTTAAGCCATCAGGGCCCAGCTTCTCTGTGGTTTTTGTTTGCTCTTTTTAGAGATAGGATCTTACTATATAGCACAGACTGGTCTCAAACTCATGTTCTCCTGCCTTGGCCTCCCTAGTGCTGGGAATACAGCCATGCCATACCCAGGTCCTCTCCATGATTTGACTGTCCTCTTTCAAACTCAGGTTATTGCCTTTGCAAAAGTATTAAGAGATGGAGTCTTTAAGAGGTGATTAGGTCATGAATGGATTAGTGTCATTATCACAGGAGTGGGTATGACTTCCTGATAAAAGTTAGCTGGCTCTCTGGCTTGCATGTGCTTGCTTCCCTTCCACTATGTTGTGACACAGCACAAGTCCCTCACCAGATACCCGTGCCATGCCCTTGGACTTCCCAACCTCCAGAATCCTAAGCCAAATATACTTCTATTCCCTATAAATTACCCAGTCTTCAGTGTTCTATTAGAACAACAGAAGCGTACAACAGAGTTCAAGTCAAATCTTATGTTGTTTAGGCTTCTTCAGCAAATTTAACAATATAAATACATACAGATTGAGTATCCCTATCTGAAAAGCTTGGGCCCCATAATGTTTCAAATTTCAAGGGTTTTTTTTAGAATATTTGCACAGACTATGGGGTAAACATCCCTAATCTGAAAATCTGAAATTCAGAATGCTCCCATACACAAAACTGGATGCTCAAGCCTTTTCTCTAGGCAAGGCACTTGCTTCTTGGCAAGGGAACTCACTGTTCGTGGCTGTCTCCCTAGCACCTAGAACAGTGTCTGATCACAGGGAGTGCACAGTAGCATATGTTGACCAACTCCCACCTCAGTCGTAAGCAACATGAGGCCAGGTGTCGCGTCAGTCTTGTTGTGTGCAAGACTAGCAGTGTACGTGTACAGTATGTGTTGATTGAAAAATAGTTAAGTCACTTTAGTTAAGAAAATGCAAAAATATTTTTTAAAAACTGGAGTATGCAGTACGAAGTTATTATATTAAAACCTTCCTGTTGTCCTGCTACAACTACTATCTGTCTGCAGAAGAAAAGGGAGGGGAGGTGGGATATATGTCTTTCCATATACATTAGCACATATTTTTTAAAAAGAGGTTTTTCTTGCTGATGGCAAAGGAAAACAACACAGTGTAGAAATTAAAGTCCTCTTCCCCCTTAGAAGTGAGCATTGTTGTGAGTGTCTTTAGAAGCTTTCTAGCTATATTCAGGAATATACTCCCCCCAATAGTCTTGACAACAGTAAATTTTAAGTGTCAGTTTAAAATGTTCACTCCATATAATTTTCTAAGGTGTAGTGTTAAGATACAATTATTTTATGTTTTCTTTTTAGTTTCTAGAAAAACTGTATGCTAGACATACCCAGTCTTGAGCCAGTAGCTCAGGTTGGTAGACTGTATGAGTCCTTATAGTGTGTAGTTGTCTGAACCCAGAGTCACACAGTTCACATGCTAAATAGTAAGACCTCATCCCTATGCGACAACACAAAGACTTCCAAGATGAAGTGCTTGTCAGCAAGGCCTCAAGTCTCTCCTGCACACTTACTAGGCCAAGATGAAAGTAGGAGAGGGAGTAGTGGATTCCAAATATTTGGTAACAAGCCAAGGAATTTTGCTTGCCTTTTTCAATATCAGTCAGATGGTTTCAGAGAGAACAAGAGATGAACAAGATGACCTAGAAAATTCTAGGTGTGTTAATCCATTTGTATTATAATGAAATATCTGGGGCTGAGTAACTTTTTAAAGAAAAGAGGTAGGTGCCTGGTTCTGGAAGTGCAAGGTCCAGGGCCCTCCTCTGGTGATGACTTTCTTGCCTGCAGAGTCCAAGGTGGCACAGGGCATCACATAGGAAGAGGCACAGACGTGTATAAGTATCAGTCTGCCTGATCTCTTCCCCTGTTTTTATAAAGTCACTTATATTCAGTCATGGGAGTTCCACCCTAATGACCTTATCTAATTCTGATCACTTCCCAAAGGCCCTACTCTAAATACCTTA